GGGGTGGCTATTTAGAAAGAGCACTTAAGTAAGAACCGGACCCATTTTCTAAATAGCAGGTTAATATCAATGGGGATTTCATATAATTGGAAGAATCATAATCAATCATGAAATCCAGAACACAACCAATCAATAAAGTGCTTACAGTTATAGGGAACAAGTCATTAGGTACATTAAATTGAAAAAGTGAACTGGCATTTTTTTCTATTTATCTATTAAATATTATATTTTTAAATTAAATAATTTAAAATATAATTTTCTAGTAATTAATTAAATAAAAATATTTCTGTGACATTTTTCTGTGTCAAAAGTCAGATATAACTTTTATCCATGACATTTTTCTAGTCATGATTGTAAACATTTAAATATAGATTCTTTACTTAAGAGGGATAGAGGGAAACAATAAGTAACTGACCTAATGAGCTTGTGTAATGGCAGAACATAAACAGAAAGGGATAGAAAGCGAGGAGGGCTATGATCTCCCACATCCTGAAGGGATATGATACAAAGAATAGTTATCTGAAAAAGTTAATAAACTAGAAGTATTAAAAGATAGGAAGATTTCATTAGTAAAAAAGAGATCTGAAGTGGTATATAATATCAAATCTTCCTCTATGGCAGTGAGTACTAGACAGCTTCCTTAGGAATGATGAAGAGAATGAAAGTGACACAGATGTTGTTCTAAAGACAGATACTGAGAATATCATAAATGGAACATGTGAGAAACATGGAAGTCTTAAAGGAAAATGGATAAAAAAAAAGATATGTTAAATCAGGAAAAAAATTCTGGTTTATATTATGAGGAAAGAATGTTTGGAGAATTTAAAACTCATGGGATATTAAAAACAAGTGGTGGGAAATAGCAGGTAATAAAGTTTGTATAAATAGATGTTAGTGGGAGCAAAAAGGAATGGTAAACAGTTAAATGTTGCTTAGAGCTATAAAGTACAGGAAGTTGTGGAAAGCCACAATTGCACACTTCTTGAAGGGATGTAACTCTAAAAAGAATTCATTGGATAAACATGATGAAATCTGTTTTGACATGGAAAGATTAAATATTTATTTCCGACTTGCTAGTATAATTTGTTTTAATAATAGTAGCATATTAGCTCTTTATTTAAAACAAACAAAGCTATTATGGCTGCTCACATCTTCAAAATATTCATGGTAAAGTAAGAACAAGTTTATTCAAATTTAGTGGAGATCATTTTTATCTTTTCCGTTTTTTTGTTCAGTCAATATTTTTTCATTATAAAAGGTAATTTCTTTCTTTAATCACTGAAATATGTCTAACATCTTCATTTATCAAAGAAATTTGATGTTTAATAAATTCAGTTTGTTGGCAGGCTGAGAGTTTTCTAAAAATATCTTCAAATAGAGAAACTAAGAACAAACTCTCTATACTACAGAAATGAAAAAAGTTTTAATATTTGATGATTCATAATTATGTTTACAAAGTAAATCAATTTTTTAATCTACTTTTCTTGGAATTTCAACAAATAATTAAACTTTCTTTTTTTTAAAAATAAAAAAAAAGAATTAATAAAAAAATTTCTAACATGAAATTTGCTTATTGCATCAAACCATGACATTTGTCATATTTTTTATTTCCTGTTTTTTCTGTTTATCTTTTTAATGAGACCTAAAATATTGCTTTTTGTCAGTGTATGGACAAAGAAAAGAAAATAGATTTTCTTCTAAAGAAAGGAAAAAAAGCTGCTCTGTATTCTTAACATCTAATATTTTTTTCCTTTACTTCAACTGCTCAATCATTTTAATTTGCAAAGAAAAAAATGTTGCTTTTAAATTGTTGATATATTAATTTATTTATTAGTTTTTCACTTGATGTTGTCTCCAATTCTATGGAAATGACAAAAAAAAAAAAAAAATGTGAAAATAAAATCCCCTACCTACTCCAAAAAAACCCAAGAGAGCATTAGGGACAAAAAAAAAAAAAGAAAATTGAAGAAAACATGTCAGCCATGATGTAAATTGTTTTCAAATGTGGAGTAATTGCCTGGAAAACTTTGAATTTAATATCATAAACAAACAAGAATAAATAAAATGGAGTTTAAATAGCTAGTATTTAGTTTAAACACAGGTGGAAACAGTTTTTTTAAAAAAAAATATCCAGTCAATAATAAAATGAAGTGTAGAGAAAAAAAGTTCTGTTATATGAATAAGATATTAAAAGATGAAAAGACAGACATAAAAAGGGGAATAAAGTGAGTTTAATGCAATAATGACGAAAGGGACAAAGAAGGGGAAGAAAAAAATGTCAATTAAAAATATTCATTTTTAATTAAATGAGGGAGGAGGAGGAGGAGGAGGAGGAGGAGGAGAAGTTGGAAAAGGGATGTTAAGAATTCTTTGAATTAAAAATAGTACTTAAAAGAAGGGGAATTGAAAATGGAAAAAGTAAAAAAAGAATTTCAAAAAATTATGCAACACTTATTTTGATTAACCGTGTTACTTAGAAGGATTACTTTGCTCCTTATACAAATGTAAAAACAGTCTTAGTTGGCCATAATATAAGAGACAAATGGCTATAAAAAGGCCGGTGATTATTTACAGCTAATTTATTTAAATAATGCACTAATTTGCATCATGTGATAACAATTGTAAGCAAAATGATGCACTAAAATAAGTAATCGTTTTTTTCTTTCAATATCTTGCCAAAAAGAATTAATATATATAAAATACATTGTGTACATATATATATTTTATTTTTGTTACATTTTCGTGTAGCACACACATACTATACTCTGTATTTACTTACTACTCAGTGAAGGTAGAATACAATACATAGTTCTGTTCTGTTTTACTATGTTAAAAATGATTTGTTTTCACTCTGAGTAAATTTTAGGACTCAGTAGTTTGGAAGGAAAGGATGAAGGTAATAAAATAATTTACTGAAACCTGAACCTTGCCACCCTGCATGTAAATCTCCTTGTCCAAAGAGTAGAGGGGGATCAATTGAAAGTGAAAGAAAAACAAGTGTTTTTCTGAATACAATAAATCATTTTGATAAACATGATTTGTTTAACCAATGCCTACTCAAGCTGGTTGAAATCTGAAATATTTGGGTTGACCATCAAAATTTTTCAGGTAAATTGGAGCTGACCTTTGCCTCTGAAAATCTCTGTAATATGGCCATCAACAGGATTAGGTGAGATGATGCTGAGGAGTGGTAGATATGATGGGCAGTGGGTGATGCAATGCCTTCCAAAACATTTGAAAATCTGACTAAGCATAGACTCAAAGAAACCCACTCCTTAACAAAGTCTTGACAATCAAATTGTTATTTTCACAACAGAATTAAGTCTTATTTTCACTGACTATTGTAACAAAATAGTTGTTTCTATGACACAGAACAAGTACTATTCTGTAAACAATGCTCTATATTGAAGATTTTGTACTCTGAAGGCACAAATGGATTCTGTCATGAACTTCAACAACTCACATCTATAAATATTCACATTTTACACCTTTAAGGTAAATATACCCTTTTAACTGGGTCGAAATCATTTTATTGTAGCTTCTTTGTAATTTGCTTTTTTTTCTATATGCTGGCATTTTTCTAGTGATATTTTGTTATTTGATTGATTTTGTTTGTAAAATTTACCTTTTTCTCACAATTCCCATTAAGCCTTATTTTAGAAAAAATAAATACTTGTCCAGGAATTTATTCGCCCCTTTTTCAGGTGAACAAACCACCAAATTTGTGCATCCTTAATATTTAGTAAAATTTGCTTTTATTATCCTAATAAAATTTTTGGGGTTTTGTATCTCACTGATTTTTTTAATAGTGCACTTAGAAATCACTTGATCTCTCTTCTCCCCAATCTCTTTTAACTGAACCCACAAAATATATAATAATAGTTTCTTCCCATATTTTTCATAACCAAGACCTAAAATATCTGCAACCATTGTCACACTGCCATCAAAATTTATTTCTTTACTAATTTTTCCTCCAATATAAAGCCTAAGAGCCACTCAAGGTAGAGTGTTACTGAATGAGGTTGCTGTATGAACATAAGATGATGAAGTAAGAAGTGCAGATTATGGGGATATATAGGAGAGATGGCTGAGGAAGCATTCATTTGGGAGCCTGTTCTATAAATTATCAGTTTTTTGAAAGAATTTGTCTGAATGTGATTTTTTTCTTATTAAAGGAATACAAATGGAATAAAGATGATTGAACCCAGTGTATCTAACATGGTGTGTCTTAGTTGTGAAGGTCTAAACTTCTGGAATTAAAGAAGACTTGCCATGGAAAAGGCAATAGTTTAGCAAAAGTCTTGTGATGTTATGTCTTTGGGAGAGGAGTTGAAGAATAGAAAAGTACAAGGCCACATAAGATACATTTGAATTCTGTGAAGATTGGGCAGCTCCAGAATGATCCAACCATCTCCTACTGGTGAAATGACAGAGGTGCTCCTGTAGGTTTGCAATCACTAAAACTAGGTTCACCTCATTGGAAGACCAATGGTAAGAATACAGTACCAGCCAAGAGAGGAGAAAGTGGCAAAAGACAAACTAGTACAGTATGTGAATCGTGGCTCAAGTAAATGTCATAGGATTTATTTATCTATGCAAGAGAGTATATTTAGTGCATCGTCATTTTAATGTAGGATCCTAAATTTGTTCAAGGATAAAAATTGCCCAGTGACAGTGATCAATGTCACACAGACTTCAGAGTACTCTAGTCTTCATCTTTAAACTAATAAAGAAGTGTTGCTTCCAGATAGGAATTTGTGTCTACGCTCACCTTACTGCAAGCAGCAAAAGATAAAAATATATCACCAATATCCTGTACTGCACTATGGGAACACACCAGAGAAGAACAGATACTAAACAGTCAGAAAGTGGTGAAAGTGAAGTGAAGCTCCTCGGTACATATGCCGGGAGTGACATTTCAATTCTGGACAGAACATATATAAATTTAATCTTAACTGGAGGTAAATAATCCCATCATTTTTGATTGGTACTATGCTAGTTTAGGAATAAGAACGAAGGATGGTGAGAGAAGTTGTTAAATGACAGTTGGAGAATTGTGAGAGATAAGAATTCAGGTGGAAAAGGAAATTTGAAGAGAAGAATACAAGGAATGGATTCAAAGAAGACTGAAATGAATTGAACGCAAAGAATGATGGAGAATTAAATGAAGAGAAATAGAAAAATTGAGTCGGAGAGAAAAAGGTAGAAGAAAATGATGAAAGAAAGAGAAAAGAGATAGTGACGGTCCAATTGTTGATAGCCCAGAAAAGATCCAATTCTCTGTGTCGTCTTTCTTTGATCAGACAAGGAGGAAATTAGATTGTGACACTCATCAATTCTTGTGCCACTCCCTAGCACATCAAGTGAATACTATTGCTGGGTCATTTTCTGATTGATCCAACTGATTAAGCATCCAAGAAACCAATTCTTTGGTTCATGATCTTGGCTTCAAATCAACACAAAGGGAATCAGCAATGGCGGCACTGATTTTAACTTTAATTCACACTATTTACAAATTATTCTGTCTGCAAAATAGTATCAGCTTTCATGACCTTGAAGTATATTATTATTTTTAGAATTTTTTACAAAGGATATTTTATTAATCCAACAGATTTTTATCAGTTTAAATGATTTAATATATTTAAATGATTTAATATATGACTCCATTTATTTGTTAAACAGTGTATTTATTTTTGCCTATTGGCCTGAATGTTCGAATTTATACTATCTAGCAGGATTTGATTTATCTTTAGTAAGATTTCTCAAACATTTAGGCCGGATAGGCAAAAATGAATAAATATTTATATTGTTTAATAAATAAACATAGCATCTACTCAAATATGAGTATCCCCTAAAAATAAGGTTTCAAGTGATAAAAATTGTTTGTTACAGTAATTTTGAATTCAATCTCTAATATAGACATAAACTCAGTAGAAACAGGGCAAGCAGTAATTTAGCAGTATTAAATGAGAACAAAACATTACCAGATATGGTCAGTAGAACAAGAATAACCTACCTTGAGAATTTAGTCTAAAATACCCTGATGGTTACCTAGACTGACCATCACCCGAAGAAGTATGGAGGGCACAACAGTCAAAGAGTGATAACAACAAAGATGAGGATATTAGTCCAAATGTACATTGTGTAAATAATGGCTTTTCATCCCATTTATGAGTTATTATAAATTATTATTTATTTATTATTACTTTTTATTATTATTATTATTGTAGTAGGAATTGTTGTTCTCCTTCCTTCCTTTTCTTTCTCTCTTTTCTTTTCTCTTTTCTTTTTTTTTTTCTTTTCTTTTTTTTAGTGTGCACATTTTTCCCCAAGGTCCCACCTAGAGACCTAAGGTTAGAAATGGCATCATGATTTTTTCCATTGACCAATTCAAAAAAAAAAAAACAAGATATTTTACATAGTTAAAGCCTTTTGTAAGGTGTGGGCTGTACTCATGAGAACTTATTATTATAATAAAATCTTTCTTACCTAAATTTATATTTAAAAAAATCCTGTTGAAATTGTTTTTCCTTCAGGCAACAGCCATCTTGATTTTAGGTAATCACTTTCTATATTTTTTATTTTATTTTACCCAGACATTTATATGGTCTTTAGTTTAAAAAAAATATTTTATTTCTAAAGATTTTTTATATTTTTTTTCCACCTGTACAATCCACCATATATTTATGTCTGTATGCTTCAATCCATCCTAATGAAAGGTCCTGGTGATTTAAAATTCTTATTAAAGATATTGATACTTGATGAATGGTTAACATTGAAATTTGTAATTCAATCACTCCATTTACAAAATTATGAAGATTACATTTTTAATCTCTATAAAAAAACAAAAAAACAATACTAATACATTTTTTGCCAAAAACAAATTAAAAATTAATATTTATTAGAGAATTTTAAAATTAAAAAAAATTATTGTTAAAAATATTTATTTGTCTTTTCTTCAATAAATTATTAAGGAATAAAATAGTTTTTGATAGGATTTAAATCTCATTTCTTTGTAACTTTTGTTACTTTTTTCACAACTATTTTCACCTTAGTACCTTGTGACATTAAAATAACTTTTTTGAGGTTATATGTTTGATAAAACCCATGACAGTCATTACAAATCAGGTACTAAAAAAAATATCAATAATTATAAAATTTTATATATTTATTTACAATATAATTGAAAAGTCATTAATTTGTATGGCCTCATATATAAATAATGGTAGAAATATATATATATATATATATATATATATATATATATATAGCCTCATATATAAATAATTGTAAATATTTCTGATAAAATCAGGCATCATAAGCTAAAGTTCACCAGGTAAATTTATCATATGAGCATATTCTGAAGACATTACTTACAGCCATTAGTAAATAGTAATTATGTTGCAAAAAGATTGCATAATATGCTATCTAATGCAGTAAATGCTTTTACTATTTGATATTTTCACTGTAAACAGAAACCTAATTATAGATTATCGAAACAAAGATGAAATCAGAATATTCTGATATCACCCTGCAGACAATGTCTTCTTCAAATCAGAAACATGATATGTATGAGAAATGCATGTATAGTTTGTTGATTAATCCAAATCTGATAAATTGCAAGATTTAATCTCAGTGACTTCAAAAGCAGACTTGTCTTGCAGGTTGACTTCAAAGCAAGCTTGCCTTGCAGGTTAAATTTCTGGCAGGGTGACTTTGAAGGCAGCCTGGCCTTGCACGGTGACTGTGAAGGCAGCCTGGCCTTGCACGGTGACTGTGAAGGCAGCCTGGCCTTGCAGGATGACTTTGAAGGCATCCTGGCCTTGCATGGTGAGTTTGAAGGCAGCCTGGCCTCGCACGGTGACTTTGAAGGCAGCCTGGCCTTGCACGGTGACTTTGAAGGCAGCCTGGCCTCACACGGTGACTTTGAAGGCAGCCTGGCCTCGCACGGTGACTTTGAAGGCAGCCTGGTCTCACATGGTGACTTTGAAGGCAGCTTGGCCTTACAGGATGACTTTGAAGGCAAGGCCATTCCTGTCAGGGCTATGTTTCTACTATGCTTTTCAATTATGCCTTGCATTTTTCTCAACCTAATTTAACATCAGTAATTCAGTTTTGTTCTGATGAACAGGTTGTGGATAATCAGTTTGTGATCTGAGACAAAATGGTGGACAGCAGATTGACAAGTATTTCAAAGTAATTTTATTAGAATTATATCAAAGGATAAACACTCAGTGCTACAAGTTATGAGAAATTGAGTTACCATTTTGAGAATGGCTGAAAATAATAAGTAAGGTCTGTCAATATTAAAATTATATTTGAAACTTTTTTCTGTAATTTGCCACTTAGAATTTATCAGTTTTTATAATATTAATATCTTGGAAATGTAATTTTTTTTATGCCATTTCTAGTGTACAAATTTTAATTTTAACTTTTTTTCATACCATATACCTTCAGGGCAGAGGCAATCATTACTTTCCACAGACTTCTTTTTTATTATCTGTTAATTCCTCACAGATGAAGTGGAGGCTAGACTTGAGGTAACAGAGATGTGGTTCTCCAAAAGGATGCTGAGAATATCGTGGATAGAGTATATGAGCAATGAGGATGTTTTAAGGAAAATGGTAACAAAAAGGACACTTACACTTAGAATAAGACAGTTGAAATTTCTGAGATATATGAGGAATGAGGGCATTGAAAATTTGACACTTACAGGCTGTATTGAAGGCAAGAGGTGCAGAAGGAAAAAGATGAGTAACCATCCTAACAGCTGAAGATATTTTAACTAAAAAAAATTACTTTTTTATTTAAGATCAGATTAGTATGGCCATAGCTACATATTCTACCTCCTTTCATATAATACAACTTTAAACATGTTACATTAATAAACATGAAAACCATATTTTGAAATTATCATAAATCCATTGACTATTATCATTTTATTTAGGAAATTTCTGACTTTTTGAGGATGAGGAGTTATCATTATTTACATGCAGACTATTTTCCTCATCTTTGTTGTTATTATCAGCTAATTTCCTTCTGTTTAAATTTCTGGGATGAACAGTTATCATTATTTACATTCAGGGTATTGTCCACATCTTCATTGTTGTGACCATAATGTTTTGGCTGTTTTGCCCTCTGGACTTAATCAGGTGTATTCAAGTAGTAGTAAATAAACGGTTCAGTTGAGAATTCCATATAAATTATCTGGATCAATATACACCTGATGAAAGCCAGAGAGCATATAATACAATAAGAAAGATGGAAGCAATTCTCGGAATGTAAATATTCCAGGAATGTCATCAAATTTTTAAAGAAAGAATGAAAACTTATTAAAATGTAGCAAAGTTTAATTTTTTTATCAGAACATAATCATTATTCTGGATGTGCAGTTAGTGGAATGATTATAACAATGAAAATTGGATTTGCTAAGCTGATTTCATATCCTGGGCTGGTCAGTTGCATTCACTTACACACAAATGTCCTTGAGAAAGGCATGAATCAGTCTTTTATCCCTTCACCCAGCAATGGGTTAAATAACAAAGTAAACTGGGCTCTGGCTTTTGTTGGCAACCAATCAAAGAGAAGGAAAACACTGAATTCCAAGCCTTGCAGAAAGCAAGGGAAAACACTCCAATATCTTTCCCAAGAAGGCATCACAATTCACAATAAGTAAAGAAAAGGTATTGGTGGAGAGCCATGATTGCAAATGTTTTGAAGAGGCTTGACATAAAAAAAATTGCTTTTCATTTTCAAGCTGTAATTTCAATGCTATGCTTGTAAGTACTTCCAAAGCAGAAAATGACTTTACTTGAATTACTGAAGGATCATGGTATTAAAAGAAAAACAAAAAAACTATTAGCAATGGCAAAACCTACTATGAAATAAATTCTTGAATTTCATGTTGAAAGAATCTCAGATTCTAGATGAAACTAATGTACACCAAAATTTTACTCAAATAAGATTTTGACAGGAAGTCTGTAATTTGGTGTTCACAATTGTGAATGATAATAATTCTGATTTTAATGACATAATCTCTTACCTACTCACAGGGCATACTTGAAGGCAAAAGGATTACAGAGAACTACCTAATGAACTTGTATGAATAGATAGTGAATAGGGGAGGGGATGGATGGTAAAAAAACACACCCAAAAACTCATACAGATGTATTTGGATGCCCATGAGACCACATTACATTTTTGGGGAGGAAGGAATATTTTACTCTTATTAATAGTAATTGAAGTTTGATACATACATACCTAAGTGTGTTTTTTTTTGTTTTGTTTTTTTGTTGAGACAAGATCAGGATTAAACTCGCACATAGCAAGGTGAGGTGGGTCCTGCTTGACAGAATATCTGTCATGATAATTTGAAGCAAGATTTTTCAAGACTTGATGCTCTTCCTGATGCCCAACTCAGACATCTATGGTAGTCCACTGAGTCTTTTTTAGAGACACCATCTCAAGGAAGGTTACCATTCAAGGCTTGAAATCCTATTTTAGCATTAAATATGAAAGAAAAAATCATACATTTAAGATATGCTATATTTATGGATTAATAGGCTCAAATGATGAAGTCTTAACAATTATTGCTGAAAGAGTTTATTAAGCTTTAGATAAAAATGGTGAAGCTCATGCTGCTGCTTTAGATATAAGGCATTTAACAGAGTTTGGCATGATGGTCTTCTTCAGAAGTTGAGAGGTTAAAGTATTTCTGGATGAATTATTGAACCAATTCAATCTTTCTTATCAAATTGTGAAATGAAAATTGTCTTTTACAGCCACTCTTCTAGATATTTTTGCATTACCACAGGTATCTATCCCTTGACTCATGTCAGTCCTAATTTTCATCAGTGACCTTCTTGATGTCATCAGGTCTCAGCTTAGTACTTATGTTGATGAAAACAACTATTTACTCCTGCCTTAATAGTAAGTCTGAGCAGTTTGGTAAAATCAAATTGGAAGCTGATCTATAAAAAACATGACCTACCATCTGTTGTTAAATGGGTCAAGGAGTGGCATGTTAATTTTAACACCAAGAATGAAATTGCTTTCTTTTAATGATCTGAGAGAACCTTTTTTGTTTTCCATCAGCATGGCTGATACTAATTTCAGCTGAGAATCACTCATTGCACTTTCTTGGACTAACGTTTTCAGATTAGATGAAGCTGAAAGATTATATTGAATCAATTGCTGAGTCTGCAGTTAAGAAAATGGTTTACTGTCATGCTAGACAATGTTTCTCACCAGAATTTTCTATAAGTCTACTATTCATACTTGCTTTGACTATCACTGCCACATCTGATCTGGTGCTCTTGCTATATATTTAGAGATTCTTGATAAAACCAAATAAAATCTGCAATGATGTTGTTTCTGACCTAGCATCTCAACTTCAGTCCATTTCTCATTGTCATAACGTAGCTCCCATGTGTCTTTTCTATAAATACTTTTATGGTAATTGTTCTGATTAATTTTCTGTTATGGTACCAAGATTTAGAAATTTAAGCACAGTGCTAGATTAGTGGCATGGTCTGATCATTTTAGAGTTGAAATGGCTAAAGGCAACTGTATGCTAAAAGTTCCTTCTATTGTTCATTTATTGGTCACTCTGCTTAATAATAGACTTTTCTCATATTCCCTAACATTCAGAAAACCTTTGTGTCCTAGTGACTTTATTGTTTTGCTTGGGGTAAAATGAAAAAAAATTGCTCCAAAATCCAAACATTAGCCTAAAACCTTGAGTCCTGTTCTTAATTATCCTTGTCAGATTCAAACTTTCATATGAATGGCATGCATTGCACAAAACTCATTGAGAAATATCTAAACTGTCAGTTGCATCCAAATGCTTTCTCGGATCAATGATTAAAAATTACTTTGAGTGAATGATGTATGTCAACCTTAGTGAGGAACATCCTTCTTTGGACCTCATGAACTGATGCTACAGAATCACATAGCTGTACTAAATAATGGAAATTACTTAATTCGAGAACTTTTTGCAACAAGAACAACTAAAATGGTTATCACATGTAACTAAGAGAAAATAATGATATAATCAAGATGTTGATTTTCCACACTACTTCCAATAAAAAGTTAGGAAGGAAACCCCTGTCAGTACTGGAAAGGATAATAATAGCTTTGAGATGCCTATTATTCTGAAAAATTATTTCTACAGAATAATTTCATAAATTTCAACCAAAAGTATCACTAGCTGTTCAGTCAATAAATACTTGATGTTTCCTTATAAGTAAACAACTGATATTGTAATGACCATTACCTGCTCTATTCCATTAACTGCACACAAAGATGTTACAGAAGTGTTACCTTGGTTTCTGTGTTTTTTCATTCAAATTCCCATGGAATATAAGTGTTGGGTATGGATTTGGAGAGTGATTGGTCACATGATGTTAGGCAGTCTCTCATTGGTTAATAAAACCACATAGGTTTAGAAAAAGCTAACCACTATCAAAAAAGGACCAGACATGCTCTGAAGCAACATGCAAGAAATTCTCTTCACTGCCAACAGTACCATTTGTTGAGGGTTTTAAAGGTACAAGCTATCTAGCCCTATTTTACTTCACCAGATGGGTAAGTTCACCTGACATGTTCTCTATATATAGGAAAGGACATTGTGTTTATGTTAACCATTGCATTCATGTTTAAGTGTAAATAAATACCTTTATTACATATTGATAATGGATTCTTCTTATTTGTCTCAATCTCAAAGTAAAGTGGGACCTGCACAATAAAAGGATCATGCTGGTCACCTTTCTTTTGTTGTTGCTGCTGTTGCTGATAACTGTCCCTAACCAACCTCCAAAAGTATCTTTTTATCTGTAGCCTGATATATCATATTTCTTAAATATTAAGATTAAAATTAAATTAAATGAAAACATCAACCAAAGATCTAATGCATAGACTACAACTGAGATCATCAACAAAGCCATCATTAATTGTGATAATCTGTTACATGGCTGTACAGTATATCCCTTGCCAAGGCCACATACAGTTTTGAGTCATCTTTTTCTGAGATTG